AGAACATTAAGTGGATAAAAGGCATTTATGAAATCCCATCTACAATTAAATTTTTTCAGCCACTTTTTTGCCAAGTCTTAAATTTGCCATCTCCGCTGGACTTTTTCAAAAAATGTTTTACGAGTGAGTTGCTGCAGTCCTGTGCAGAAAAAACAAATTTGTATGCCGTTCGGAATTCTCTACCAAACTTTCCAGCACCAAACGTATCCGAACTAAATACATTTTTCGGAGTCCTTATAATAATGGGAAATTTGGGTTATCCACGAGTGCGCATGTATTGGGAGCCAAAATTTTCTATTTCTTTAATAGCTGAAAATGTCATCCAATAGATTTTTCAAACTTAGAAATAATATGCACTTCACAACAGAAGATGACAAAAATTCTGCAGATCGGCTATGGAAAATAAGGCCATTGTATAATATCATAAGAGAAAGGTGCAATTCGTTGAATATCGAAGAAGTGTACAGTGTCGATGAGCAAATGGTTCCGTTCAAAGGATCCCTAAACATCAAGCAATACATCAAGAACAAATCAACAAAATGGGGCATAAAATTGTTTTTGTTGTGTGTAGTATCTGGAATCATTTATGACTTTATAATTTATCAAGGAGCTTCTACGGAATTGAAAACTGAATACATGTTATTTGGTCAAGGGCCTGCTGTTGTCATACACTTGTCAGAAAAGATGCCACGGCATTCTAAACTCATCTTTGGCAATTATTTTAGTTCTTATCGGCTATTTCAGTGGCTACTCAAAAACCAAATATGTGCTGCAGGGACCATTCGAAAAGATCGGTTTTCAAAACCACTATTCACGGAACGCCAAGACAATAATAAAAAGTTAGAAAGAGGATTCATGGAAAATCTCATTTGTCAAAATTCCGGAGTTATTTTGACTAAATGGGTAGACAGTAGTGTGGTAACTTTTGGGTTCAATTTTGTTGGAGTAGTTCCACATGACACCTGTCAAAGATGGAACAAAAAAAACAAACTATATATATAGAGGTACCACGCCCAAAAGTATCATAGACGTCAAACGCTTCCACTCCCTCATCAATCAAAAACTCTCCTCTCTTAACAATCTTCCACTTAACCATCCCCGACAAATTGACGCTCAAATCGACTCAATTCAAAAAATTATATCTGAATCAGACGACTTATCCACTCCTACCAGACAAATCGATCAATCCCCACTTCCTCCTCATCTCATAACTCTCAACAAAAGGAATCTCAATCAAAAGGATTCCTAACGTGTTAGGAATCACACGTTAAAAGGTAAGACCCCGTTAGTCCTTAGCTCACACAAGTTTCTCAACTTCTGAGAGTTGTCGTTCGTATGGGGTCGGCAGCTGATTAACGGAAAAACAGATTTTAAACAGATAGAAAAGCAAGCGTAAACTCTACAGAACTTTCGTCCGAACTAGAGATACAATCCTAAAAACCGAGTAGAACCGTCTTAACGCTCGCATTCGTCTCCTCATCAACCAATTCACCCAGAAAAGGTGGATGGAGGAGACTAAAAAACTCGACTACCGAGATGGAACGGCCTTCTGGAACAAATTCAAAGTACTCACTGGACAAAAAAGGAAAACCGACAGTCACCTATCGTTTGACGGTAACATCATTCCCAACCCTTCCGACAAAGCAGAAGCCTTCCGTGAAAACCTCGAAAACACCTTCCGTCTCCCTCAAGACCATTACTTCGATAACCAATTCCTAAACCACGTTCACCAACAGTTGCCCGCGAGACTGGGTAGGCACCCTCAAATCCCCCTCGATCCTAACTGCCCCCTAAGATCCCCATTCAGTGAGGAAGACATCCTCAATACTATCCACAGCGGTAGAAATACTGCTACTGGTCCAGACTCGGTTAACCGCCGAGTCCTGAAAAACCTTCCCACACAAAACCTTCCTCAAACACATCCTCGATGCTTGTCTTGTACACGCCTACTTCCCTACTGCCTGGAAACAGGCTAACACTATCTCAATACCCAAACCCCATAAGGATCCCACTAATCCCGATTCATACAGACCTATCAGCCTGCTTAGTTGCCTGGGCAAACTGCTGGAATGACTAATGACTAACCGTCTGAACGACTTCCTCATACTCCACAGAATTATTCTTCCTCACCAGCATGGTTTCAGGGCCGAACACTCCACTCAGAACGCCCTAGTCGAACTACACACTCACATATCCCAAAACATCAACGCTTTTTTTTGCACCATTGCAATCTCCCTAGATATCAAAAAAGCCTGATCTGGAAGCTTATCCAAATACCTCGGTGAAGCATTTTCCTCCCCTTTCACTCCAAAAGCCGGAGTCCCCCAAGGCTCAGTCCTCGCTCCCTTTTTATTCCTCATCTACGCTCATGACGTACCCACTACCGATAAAATCCTACAATACGCCGACGACATTATCCTTTACTCTTCCGCCCTCTACACCCGCCGCTTGCAAATTCAAGCTCAAAACATGATCGACCATTTCGAGCAATGGTGCAACAAATGGCGTATCAAAATAAACCCCACCAAAATCCTAACTATCCTATTCCGACATCCCAACACCTCTACTCGTCCCAAATTAAACCCCGATAACTTGGATCTCAGACTATTGGGGGAAAACCTCATACTCCAGGACTCGGTGTCCTACTTAGGGGGTCACCTTCACGAGGACCCTCAACTGGGAGACTGACCTGAGAGAGACACTGGACAGAGTCCGGAAGAGAGCCAACCTTCTAAAGGCTCTGAGAGGCAAGCTCGGGAGATGTGACAGTAAAACTCTCCTTCATATGTATAAATCCTACATAAGACCAGTCCTGGACTACAAAGCGATGATATACTGTACGCTTCCCCCGAGACTATCACACCGAATCCTTACAACCGAGAGAAGAATCCTTCGAAATATACACAACCTCCTCTATCGATATCCATCCCTAAACCTATACAACTTCACCAATACTACACCAATCAACCAAAGATTTCAAGAACTTCAAGGACGATATGCAACCAGAACGATGAGCAACAACAACAGCGATGCCATCAACACGCTCACTACGCCTTGGATTCCCCGTGGAGGATCCAGGAGGATACCCAGGAAAAAGCTCCCTTTTCCCCCAGCCAGACTCCTGGGTGCAATGGAAGACCCACCGGAGCCGATCCAGGATATCCTAGAGAAACTCCCACTGAGGATCACATAAGCGGACAGCGGATAGCAGCGTCGTGGAAAGACCTGAGTTTCATCCTCATGCAACCCCGGCCAAAAACCGTACCCAAAAATTACAACCACGATCCCTGCAATGGACCCGGACCACCATACGGATCAACGGAAAAACTATATGAATAAGCGGAACACAAAAACAACACAACACAGACTCCAACACACACACATACAGCACACTTACCCTGAAGAGGCATTAGCCTATAGCAGGGCCCCACACAAACATACCCAACAAATGTAATGTAATTATCAACAAATTTAATAAACGATTTTCATTCATTCATTCATTCATCCAAAAGTAGTATCACTCTATAATAATGGAATGGGAGGAGTCGATAAGTGTGATTTTCTCATCTCCCTTTACAGATCTTTCATTAGATCGAAAAAGTGGACAGTTCGGCTTATTTCACATGCCTTAGATATGGCAGTAATCAACTCGTGGTTGGAATATATACTCTTGGCGTACCCAGAAAGCACATCCTAGATTTCCGACAAAACTTGGCTGAAGCTCTAATATTATCTGGCGAAATACCTGTGAAGAAACGAGGAAAACAGACATCTTCGGCTTCCGCGAGTCCTTCTCTCAATGACTCTTTGATTTCTAGCGAAATTATTAAACAAGTGAGACCTGTTGCAGACGTCCGTTTTGATAATTTAGGCCATTTTCCAAGAGAAGATAGGACGGTGCAAACAAGCGCAATGTAAATCTCGAACATACATAAAATGCACCAAATGCAACGTATCCCTTTGTATAAGTAGAGACAAAAACTGTTTTCTTTCTTTTCATACCAAATAATGAATTTCATGCAAACCTGTGGATCACTTTATATAATTTTTTTATGTTCAACTCCTACCTCAGACATGTTGTACATCACAGTGCACATGTCTGTCCTCGAAAACACAAGGACAGGCAGACATGTAATTGGGTTCAAATTATTGTCAAAAATATCAATTACTGGGAAAATGAATAAAGAAAAATCGTAAAGGTTTCATAATTCATGACTGATTAAAGGTTAAAGAAAAAAATATCGCCACGGGCGTTAAAGAAAAAATATCGCCACGGGCGTTAAAGAAAAAACATGGCTGCCATACAGGGGGTCTCATCCCACTTCCTAGAATTATTGTTTTGTCACCTATAATAAATATAAAATGTGTAGTCTTTATAGTTACTTGTTTGTATTGTTAGTAGTATTTGTAGACTTTACAGTCACTTGTTTGTGATGTATTTATTATACTGTTATTTCCTGCTCTGTAATTGGGCTATGTCCTGTAGAGTATTGTATTACAGATAAATAAATAAATAAATAAATTGATTGCCGAACATTTGGTTTCAAATCAAATTTCATGATTTACGTACATCACAATTGCTTTGATATTTTTCATATATTTTCTATAAAAGTAGAAATGACAGAAATGTAAAAATTGGTATTGTGACATCAAAGAATGATGTACCAGCACCTCCAGCACCAAGCCACCGAAATAGATTCAAATCTATAGCAAGATTATTCCCAAGAAAAGACCTAATTACCAAATTGTCAAGAAGTTGGAGATGAAGTTGAAGAAGATATTGAACTCGATTCAGTTACGACTGAAAAGTTGCTGCACAGTATATCAACTTTTTCAAAAAACATAAAAGTTCCAAATGAAACTAGAAGACGCAGGAGCCTTGTCATTTATCTGGCCAAGCAAACACAACTCGACTAGTTGGTTATTGTATCCCGCTATCTTGTTGAAAAAAGTATTTTTCGAAAACGATATTTGAAGAACTCAAATATATCATACATGTAAATGGACTTCTGTTAACACTGTCAAAGAACGTTCAGCACAGAGTAACGTAGCCGACAAGTTGATTGCCAGATAACCAGATGATTAACAAAATTCACAGGATTACAAGAAATGGAACAAGTTATGGTTGCACCTCGAATGAAAAAGAGATACAGACAAAAGGAATCTCCACTGCATCATCCGAATTGAAACAAATTTATTTCACACTGGCGTAATTCTGAAAATCGAGTACAAAAATACTCTAAAATAAAAGCATGTATATAAGGACTTCAAATCTCCTGGTACATCCTGAAAGAAATTGTACTAGTCATATTATAACATGAACAAGTTTTTTTTTCCAAATTAACGAAATAAATAATCATTTTGCAAATAGACATAAAATCCATCTTCAAATTAAAATTCTATAAAATAAATTTTGTATCACTAACATCAACAAATATATTTCGGTCCCTCCTCACAAGTGAACTCACAGTTGTAGATCTACCTTCTTCTGCTACATCAATTCAGTATTTTTTACTGCAACCTCCGCAAACCATGTAACAGTCACCATATGTTTACATCTCGTCAAATAACATCTTTATTAACGGTTACTTACAAAAAATTTTTCAAACTCGAGATCCCCAAACCCCAGACTACTCAACTTCAGTTTATTTCAGCCCCTACTAGAATAATGTCTAAAACAATGCACAAGTGCAAGATAATCAAAAATTTGATATTAAAAGTACTTTTTGATCACACAAAAAAAATTAACAAATGTTGGAACAAGTTAGATTGCACCCGGATTGAAAATGAAACCTCGACAAAAACAAATTTGTTTTACGTTCAGGTGGAATAGAAAAGTAGGTAGTGAAATCACATTAGACACCATGATAGTGAATCACATAAATGATTTAGGGAAAGGTTGTAATTGAGAAAATGTTTCACGGGAATAGAAACTTCGAAACCACAAAAGTGCAATGCAATGAGAATCGATTGAAATGAAACAATTCTTCAAGGTATATGACAAGTACAAAAAAGGCCTCTGTATATGATGAAAACTTGTATCTACATTTACCAAATATTAGTAGACACATGTTGTTTTTAGTTGGTATAAAAAGTACATAGCCAAGAGGCCTCATATATACATTTGGAAGACACACTCAAGAAAGTTCCACAATCTAGAAAATTACATACCCAAAAAACAGTGAGAAGTATTGATTACTCCAAAAAAATGATATTCAAACAATATAAAACTGTTTTTCATCACCATTATGATATACAAAAAATCCTTCATACAATGTATCATTGATTGTGCACTTATTGATCTGATACATCGGAATCTGATACATTCGGAACTTCTGAAACTCTGGAAAAAACACACATGCAGTCGTAGGGCAGCTGTTTCCCAGGGCAGGCCCAATGAAAGACAAAAATAAAAAACTTTTAATCACAATCATGACAGCAGATATAAGCTAGAAAAATGCCAGTCACAAATTTTCAAAGAACAAGTTTGAGTTGACGTCTCCCTTGAAAAATTTTCATTAGTTTTGCCATTTCCTCCACTTCATGTATTTGTATAACATCTTATGCATTCTGTTGAAACCAGAACCTCGTTTATCATTGATATTCAAGGATTTAGTCTCCTGTCGATCCCATAAAAGGCTACACTGACCGGAAATCTGAAACAAAAAATGCTTGAAAACTTCGGGATTCTAATAACACCTGATTATAATTGCATTCAATGAAACGGTTTGCAAAAATTCTGGAGGAATGTTTAAAATAATGATTGAATAAATTTGATTTTTTTTTGCATATTTTATCCTGTTCCAAACAGTTTGAACCAATTAAGAGGCTTCAGCTTATTTTAAATTGTTCCAGTTCAGTTTTTATAGAGGGTGTGTTAGTGGATTATAGTACTTCCCCAATTGAAGTTGAAAAAAAAAATAAGTAGAACAGAGTAACGAGAGCAACGAAACCAATGTAAAAACTGCCAACATACAGAGTGTCTAAAAAACATAAGAATACTAAAAGTTGTGGTTTTTCAAATGGCATATTTCTATATTAATTTCCTTGATGAGAGCTATTAATACCCTGCGTTTATACCTCGGGATTCGGAAGTTATGTTAAGATTTAAATGTAAAGAAATGAAGTTTAAACGTTCAAGCCAGTCTTGGATATACATACACGGTAGGTTGAATGGACTCACGCCTATCAGAAAATAACTACTCCCCTGGCTTATACCACCAAGGGCGTTGGATTATATGCGACAGGCGTCAGTGTAGGAATCTTCACGGAAAATTTCCTGCATATGCAATTGGCAATACAACTGAAAGAGTTGACCTTCAATTTTGAAACACGAGATCATAATAATGAAAACCTACTTCTACGATTGAATACCAGTGAAGAAACTCTTCCAGTACCTAACACTAATTTTTATTTTTAAAATCAAAATTAGATATTCACCTGTACATCTACAGAATAAATTAACTTATATGGCTGAAATACATGGGCATAATACTAGAAACAGAAGCAATACAAAAGTTGAATAATATTTTAAAAAAAGTACACATAATTCTTCATTTTATAAAGGAGTAGATTGTTTTAATGACCTCCCTCAAGAAATTAAAGATAGTGGTTCGATAAAATATATTCAAAAGAGGATTGAAGGATTTCTTAATGAAAATATAGTGTATTCCTATGTATGACTTTCTTATGTAATTTTTTAGCATAAGTTTTCCAAGTCTACTCCTGCTGACTGAACACTGGTGCAATGAAAATGAACCTATTAATATACCAGGCTACACGGTGGTATCTAGTTATTCCAGAAAGTCTTCAAATCATGGTGGAACTGCCATACTAATGAAAAATAATGCTGTTATTGACTTCATGTTCACTCATATCAATCAATCAATCAATCAATTTATTCATTGTAAATGAAACATTACAACGTCGTTATTTCCTTAGTATTAAAATTAAAATACATATACACAGAGATGCACAGATCAAAATAAAATAAATATATACAAAATTATCATGCACATGTAAACCTACAAGAGATGTAGTACATGTATTATTCATTTATAAAATCTTCTATTGAATAGAAACATTTTTCTATTAGGACATTTTTCAGCCAGATGGAGAATTCATTCGAGTGTTTCTTTTTTGCAAAGTCTGGAATTTTATTATATAATTTTGCGCCCCAATANAAGATAAAAATTTTGAATTTTCTATCTGCCACTGTAAGGCAAATAATTTATATATTTTGTGTATATATCGTTCTCCCTCCTCAGATTTTAATATATTTTTGAATAATTTAGAATTAATACTGTCTCAATTATCTGTTAACTGTTCTTTGATTGTTGCCGGCGATTTCAATATTAACTAAAACGATCTTGAATCGCCAGCCACCGATTCGCTGAAAAACCTACTTTTGTCATTCAACTCAACTATGCATGTTAAATCCAATACCCGTATCTCACAATTTTCGTCTACTCTCATTGACTATATTTGTAGCAAATTTGAAGAGCAGAAAGTATTATGTTCGGTCAGCTCTTCAGGTTTATCTGACCATGAGGCAGTTTGCTGCTCAGTGTCGTTCTGGTTGTTGAAGAAGCAAAACAAATGTAAATATGGAAGACTATTTAGCGGGACAAATTATAATAGGTTCTATCAGAATTATCTTCAGACTGACTGGGAAATTATTCCATCACATAATGATCCTTTCACTTTATTTCATAACATCTTAATGGATGGGAAAGAAAGTTTTTGGCTTTCTACTACTCCATCTTGATACAAAAAACAAGGATGAGGGAATCTTCCAAGGAAAGGAAGGAAGTAATCAATTCTAAATTAAGTAACTCTATACATGGATGTGTAGATCATGCAAAGTAACTTTCAGACACAAACTGAAAGAAAGTCCTCCTGAAACAGCTACTTTCATATAAACATTGAATTACACGAAAGAAAAAAATTCTTTCGAAACAAATACTTCTATATGAACACTGAATTATACAGAAGATACTTTTCTTTACTCAGTTTGTATTTCAAACATTCGTTGTGGAATACAAATCAGATAACATTCACATGAGTTCTACCTTAAATGAATGGTAATAAATTGCACTTACATACATGGTACTGAAGAGCCTTGGGGCAAGTGTCTTAAGGCGAAATATCGATGTATACCAGTGAGGCTGACAGTGTTCCATGTAAGTGCAATTTGTTACCATACGTTTAAAGTAGAACTCATGTGAATGATATCTGATTTTTTTCCACAACGAATGTTTGAAATACAAACTGAGTAAAGAAAAGTATCTTCTGTATAATTCAGTGTTCATATAGAAGTATTTGTTTCGAAAGATTTTTTTTCTTTCGTGTAATTCAATGTTTATATGAAAGTAGCTGTTTCAGGAGGACTTTCTTTCAGTTTGTGTCTGAAAGTTAACTTCTTTGCATGATCTACACATCCATGTATAGAGTTAGTTAATTTAGAATTGATTACTTCCTTCCTTTCCGTGGAAGATTCCCTCATCCTTGTTTTTTGTATCAAGATTGAGTAGTAGAAAGCCAAAAACTTTCTTTCCCAAAAATTAATCACTCCTAAAAATATAACCCCTTCAATTCAAATCTTAATAAATGTATTTGAGGCATCATTCCCTATACAAAAAAAATGGTTGACAAAAGGTTTGAAAGTTTCTTCTATTAATATACGAAAATTTACAAGCAATCTTTATTATTTAAACTACTTTAATAATTACCGTAGAATTTATAGATTGACAATAAAGTGAGCAAAAGAAATATTTTACAATAGTAGAACTCAGTGAGTCTCACAATAAGATGAAAGAGTCATGGTCAATTATAAATGACTTAAGAAACTCAAAATAACGAAAATGTAACATTACTCTAAGTCCTGATACTATACTGATACTTTTACTGCTCTATTGCAGAAAATATGAGTAGAAATATTACTAGCCCTTATGATCCATTAGTACATCTAGAAAATTTGGGCGTGGATGAGAACCTATCTTTGTATGACACCAACATTAATGAATTAATTGAAATCATGATGGATATTAAAAACAAAAATACTGCAGGCTACGATAACATTTCGATCAAAATAATACAAAACCTTCCTCCTTGTGCCCTAAATATACTGGTTTCACTGATAATTTTATCCTTTCAAACAGGCATATTTCCCTTTTTCTAAAAACATCTGTGGTCATGCCTCTGCATAGGGGTGCTGATTCTGATGATCCCTCTAATCTCCGCCCTATATCTCTCATACCAACCATCGCAAAAAATCATTGAAAAACTAGTCAAAAAACGACTACTTGGATTCATAAATAAGCATAACATCATCAGTGAAAATCAATTCGGCTTCCAGAATAATAAAAATACGCACAATGCTATTTTCTCATTTCTGAACAAAGTTTATTCTTAGATAAATGTCGGTGAAAAGACTGCCGCAGTATTTTGTGACCTGTCGAAAGGCATTCGACTGCGTTGATCACAAAATACTGCTGAGAAAGCTCCAACGTTATGGATGGAGAGGAGTGGCTCACAAATGGTTCGATTCCTATTTGATGGGACGGACGCAAACGGTCAAAACATCTCAACTTTCAAAAAAAAGGGAAATTAATTCTGGTGTTCCACAAGACTCTGTGTTAGGTCCATGATCTCATCTAGCTCAATATTTCTGGGAAGTTCACCTTAATTGCAGATGACACTTCCATATTTTGGAACAATAAAAACACTTGTGAGTTGCACAAAATAATCTCTGCTGACTTGAAAAAAGTTAAAGATTGGTGTGATTCAAACATTTTATCTTTTAACTTAACTAAAACAAATTTATTATCATTTAGATGCTCACTCGATGAACTTTTTTTTGAAGACAGATCACTGGAATCTAAAACTAACACAAAATTTCTAGGCGTCTTCATTGACCAGATTTTAAAATTTGTGGATCATGTTAAACAACTCACTAAAAAAGTCTCCTCTGGCTGTTATGCGGTTAGAGTGATTTATAAAGAATTGGGGTTCAGCACTGCAAAGATGGCGTACTATGCACTCATAGATTATCACTTACGCTACGGAATACCATTTTGGGGACATGCAGCCCAACTTTATTCAAAAGTCTATTAATTTTACAGAAAAGGGCAATACGGTATAGAGGAAACCTCAAACCAAGATACTCCTGTAGAACCTTCTTCAAAATACATAATATTCTAATGGTAACTGCATTATTTATACTGGAATCTGTGTGTCTAATAAATAAGCATATATTAAATTTTGCTACATCCTCTCCCCATTATAACACCCGAAACTGCAGACACACTCTGAAACTCACTGTGCCAACAAAAAACATTACCAGAGACTCCATATTTTACAACAGTAGAAAGATGTACAATAATTTGCCTAAGGATATACGATCTGCCAATATAAATGACTTCCAATTCAGGAAGTTAGTCAAACAATTTTTATCTGATAGACCCTATTATACTTTGGAGGAATATTTTAACGCTAGCTTTTAACTGACTTATGCATATTTTTTATCCTTACTTATTAAGGAGCTCTTAAGTTGTTTCTATTTATGACTTCTGTTTTATAAACTTGACTTTTACTCTTTTATATATACATATCTTTTATATCCTCCATTTTAACATAGTTTGTACCCATGTACAAACTTGTACATGGGTACAAACATGGGTACAAACCCATGTACAAGTTTGTACCCATGTACAAAAATCCCTAACCTAACCTAACCTAACCTAACCTAATCAATTTCTCTTTAGGTTAAACTTGACTTACGTTCATAAATGCAAATGACACCTAAAAAACCGACTCGTATTTTGAACTATAATTGAATGAATATCCAATAGAATAAATCATTCATTATGTAACTATAAAAAAAAGATTTTTTATTATGAACTTGATTTAAAGCATGAATTATGTACACAAATCAGTCACTTTGTTTGGGGTACTTTAAGAGATTGTTCACATTGGTTTCAGCTTCTGTTCATCAATAGAAAATTCTAACCGATCACTTGGGATTATTTACTACTAGTATCATGTTGCTGTATCGCTGCTGTTCCAATGTTTTGGCAGAATCAGGATCAACGAACTTAGGCGTGCGCAGCCTTATAGAACAGTGCTTTCAAATTGTTCTACAGCGCCATCTAGTGGCGAGTTACAGAAAAATTGATAGCCTAAAAATCTTCTCTATGAAAAATTACTTGTACATGTCAAGTTTCATCACGATCGTTGAGCGATGTAGAAGTTTATCACTTACCAACCAACCAACAAACTAACAAACATCCATTTTTATATATTAGATTAAATAGCTTATTGACACACATTCGGAAGCTAAAATGAGCATTGTCAAAGTTCGTGTCATCTGTGCCATCTGCGACGCTTTAATTATTTTAGCTATTGACACTCAGAAAATTTCAAGCCTCTCAAGCCTCTCAGTTTCACTAATTGTTTGGTATGAGATACTCTTTCTAATTAATGTCGTAAGTAAATCCTTACAATCGACAGACATGGATCTCAGGTATGCTGAAAAAATGCTGTAATTTCTTAGAATACAGAAACACAGGCTTCAAAAGCTTCATCTGAATCGCCAAGGAATTGGCTGAAAAGTTAAATATGAAACTTGTATTTAGAGCCACAACAACAATCTGACATGTTAAGCGTCAAGCTAGTAAAACTGCCAGCAATGAGCCTATAACTTTTTAGAAAAAAAATTTGAGGATGAATTTTTCTACTTTTTGTGGACACCACATTAATTTGAGTTAAGGAAAGATTTGAACAGTTGAACTCAGAATCTTGGTCATTTTTGTACAATATAAAAGTGATTTCAAAAAAATCCGATGTTTGACCTGACCTGTACTAAAATTACCTATCAACTCTAAATCAGATATAGATGATTATTTGTTGTGTGATGAACTTTCAAGTCTAAAATCGTTTTGGTCTGATCAGAATGTGGTAACTCCTGTTTTCATTTTAAACTTCATCAAAAATCATAAGTTACTAGAGCTGTATCCATTAGATAGATAGATAGGACATTATAAATATTAACTATACCTCTGTAATGGTTTCTAGTGGGGAGAGAAATTTTTTTTAAGCTTAACCCGATAAAAACCTATCTGTGATCGACAATATCTCAATCTCGATTGACAAACTTGGCGACCTTGTCAAACGAAAATGAATTTGTGAAAAGCATCTGTTTTGATTACTCAGAGTTATAAAAAAGCCAGAAAAGTCAAATTTCTTAGCTTTTTTTGTGGTCTTAATGTAGTGGTTATATATATCCTCTGTTTTTTTTTCGCATGGGTTTGACTTGCAGTTAGGGGGCGCCGTAGAAATCTAGCCCAGGTTCCGGTAGTTCATGAATGCAGAGTGAGTACGGAATAAAGGCATTGATTAAAAGGGAAAATTGTACTTTATGGGATACTCACGGATTTTCGCAATTTTCTTCTGGGATGATACCACACGATGATAGGAATTCAAAAAAAGAAGATTAAAAACTATTTCATATTATATTCCTCAAATCGTGAAAGTCCAATTTTACAGTAAAATATCACCTTCGCTCATTGATTGCATTCCTAAACGTATGGTATCAAATCTATTGGGAAATATGGTTATCGAAAAAATTAAATGCGTTCAAAAAAATTATATAAAAAATAAAACAAGAATGGAAGAGAAAAAATTTGCAAATGGTGGTCTACTCACCATGCGGATATGTGTAGAAATTCCTTTTGAAAATCAATAAATCGCGAACAGCACCCATGTAGTCCCTGCACAGTATCAGAATAATTATTCAATAAAGGAATATGTAATAAAGTAACTATAATTATACTTTTTTGTGATTATTAAATTTGAAATAACATAACTGTCGATATCTACACCCACCAACAGAAACTACCACTGACAAGAGTGACAAGCGACTAATGACAATCGATGCCACATAACAAGCTGCAGTTTTGGATTCGTGGTGCAGCTTCGAAGTGCGAACATCGAACTGCCGGACTTTTGTGATTGTTTTTTTTGTCTCCTACCTTTTGTCTTCAAATATGAACTCTTTGATTATTAATATTGAGTTGATTGAAGAACACTTCTAAAAACTCAAGGATAAAAAGTGGGTTCGATTTTTTTAAAGTAATTTTTATATTCATGAACTACTGGGCGAGTAAAAAACTGTAAACATGTTAGTAAAGGAAGCGGCGAGATTATCTTTTCCCAAAAAAACCCGTATTGATAATGATGACAACAAAAGCCAGGCATAGTGGAAATGTGGAGGTGCAGAGTATTCTGGAATCAAACCCGGGGAACAAGAACTTCAAGTCTACTCTCTTATTTTTGATTGGGAAAACTCAGATAGTTCATAAGTAAATTCACAAGTAAATGATGAAATGGAGGAAGATGGCCAAACAGATAATGAAGTAGCATTATCAAATGAAGGGGATAAAGGTACGTACACAAACATCTTAGAATCAATTTCAGTGGAAAAGAATCTTAAACGTTTCTCTCATTTGAACATAACTGAAGATGTGTGCGACTTTAAATTGAAAAATATAATGAAAATAAAAATGATAGATATTAAAAAAATTGGTGTAGATTATAATAAAAGAGAAAGTGCTAATAACATGATAAACAATGAGCAAGTTGAAAATAAAGGGTTTAAAGCATACATCCCATTTAGCGATGTAAATGTGCCATAAAAAAGATAATTCCAACATATGACAAAGAAAATTCAATGGAAAGAATTATGAAAAGTCCCTATAGAGTGATTGAGGTTGTAAGAATGGATAGAAAAATCATAACAAACAGATAACCAATATATGTGCCCGCTTCCACGATTTTAATCACATTAAAAGAAACAATAATTTACAGATACATCGAAGTTTGTTTCATAACATACATGTCTCATGTCACTAGTCACTTTATGTTATAATTGTCTCCTTTATCTACATATAAATAAACAACAGTGATAGGAAATGCTTTTCATGCACAGAACAACAAAATAATGATGAAGAATATGACATTATGCAACAAATTATTGCTTATTCTGCTAGATTAATGAACACAAATCGAAAAATAGATAGAATACGAATAGCAAAAAAATATCAGGAAAAACGGACCTTTGAAAAAATCTTATTTTAGGAATCAGAATTCATTTGACTGCTACCATATCGTTATACAACCAAATTCCATTTGAAAAACGCAGGAAAGTATGCAATCCAAACACGTTAATTCATAAACGATCATATGCTCAAAGTGTAGGAAAATAATGAAATAATAGGAATATATGTTATAATATGCAAGAGACCAACGAAATTCTTATAAATACAAATGCACACACACTAATTTTGGACGGCCGATTTTACACCAGTCGTTCAAAGTCCAAATTCTAATAGTGAATCACATGTGGGATCGTCATCAATATCATCATGAATATGTTTCAAATCATAGTTAATATAACGTCATCGTTTCAACACCAGAATGAATTTATTTGAATCACAGACGAAAACGTTTTGAAAACATGAGCGCCAAAAAACGCCGTATGTTGGAAAAAAAGCACTTACTTGAAATTTGACCCTGTTTGGAGGGAGTGATACAATTTTATTCGCCAAATATACAAGTAGAATTTGAACATAACTATTGCTAACATTTAATCGTGGTAAATAAATACGGAGCGCCCAAAAGAAGATTTCCTTTGTGCATGGGCGAAAGTATTTCAAGTTCTTGAGTAGTTTATACAATTATAGTTTATAGAATCGACAATATAATCATAGACATATATAGATAACAAAAAACATAACATAACATAGGTATTACAAAGAATAAAGTATATAAATATAAGTGTGTTCATGTACAATACAGATACAAGTTCACAATAAACAAATCTCCCGGAGAGGATGGTATATTTCCAGCTCTTCTTCAAAACGGACTGGAAATAATTTTACCTATTCTCACAAAATTGTATAGAGCTAGTCCGGCGTGGAACTACATACTACCTTGTTGGTTGGCAGCAAGGGTTGGAGAGACCTACACCCTAAATCGGTACGACCAATCAGCCTTACATCCTTCCTGCTGAAAGGACTTGAGAGGATACTGGACGGACATATTAGGAGGGTAGCATTATATGCATGCCCCCTGAATAACCATCAGTATTCTTATCAAATCGGCAAATGAACAGATTTAGCATTAAACAACCTCGTTGAGAAAATCTTCCAATTCTTTGACAACAAGGAGATTGCGGTTGCTGTATTTCCTGATATTGAAGGAGCATTTGACAATGCACTACCTAAATCTATAGGATTGTCTCTGGCTAGGAAGGCTATAGAATCGACCATAACTGGCTGGATCTATGCCAGCATATGCTGGTAAACAGAACTACAACTACGACTCTTCAAGGCGAGGCCATCAGGTTCAGGGTCATCAGGGGCTGCCCTCAAGGTGGGGTACTATTTCCTCTTCTATGGTCGCTCCCGATGGATAATCTGCTTAATGCCCTTGACAGAAGAACAGTTGATTTGCAAGCTTATGCAGATGACCTTGTCATCATAGCAAGGTCTACGTCGGGAAGGGTAGCTTGTAATATCCTTCAAAGCACGTTGGACGATGTTCATAGTTGGTGCCCGAGGGAGCAGATGTCTGTCAACCCCAGCAAACCTGTGTTGATCCCCTTCACCAAGAGGAGAAAATTGGACGATTTAACGCCAATTTTCCTCAATGGTGAGATCATTCCATTCGGAATGAAGGTGAAATATCATGGTATTGTCCTTGATAAAAGACTCACCTGGAATGCTAACTTGGAAAAAATGTTACACGAAGCAAGACTGTCTATATTGATTGGATTTATGTGATGATTGTCAGACCGATGATCACTTATGGTGCAGTCGCTTGGTGGCTGAAGGCTTCACAGAAAACGGCCCAAGCCAAGCTCTCTGGCTTACAGAGAAAGGCTTGTCCGGCTATCACTGGTGCCATCAGTACCACACCTTCTAGATCTACCTCCTCTCCATATTTTTCTGGAGAGACAGGCTAGATGGACTGCATACAGACTTGTGCACATTGCCAATTGCATAAATCAATTAAATGCAGAGTGCAACAGACTGTTGGTTGACACTGGAAGTCACACCATTCTGGAAATAACCTCTGACTTTATGCCTCTAACTGTCAACTACGAACTGCCTTATAAAGTACACTGTTCCCGAGTAGAGAGGGCTGGATCCTTCGGGATAAGGAAGTATTAAGAACAGATAGTTGTTGGTTCACAGATGGATCAAAAACACCTTCCGGTTCTGGTGCAGGTGCTTTTAGTCGCAGATTCAGGACAGAGATATCTACCTGCCTAGGAACTTATGCGACTGTATTTCAAGCGGAAATTTACGCTATTGAATTGGGTGCGGAGAGATCGGATAAATCCAACCTCAGACACAAGTCAATAAAAATATTCTCGGACACTCAAGCGGCGTTGGAAGCTCTTGGCTCCTACCGAGCAACGTCTAAATTGGTAGCAAATTGCCACAAAACACTTTCCTCGATAGGAAGACTTAAAAGATTGTCTCTGGTCTATATTCCTGGTCATACTGGCCTGGAAGGTAATGAAGCTGCTGACTCTCGTGCAAAGGAGGGTGCTGCAAGCGGCTTCATCGGACCAGAACCTGTCATTGGCATTGCTTTGGGCTTTGCTAAACAAACATTGAGCCAGGATTGGCTCACTTCAAGGTGTTTATCCACTACGATGTCTAACAGGCCTCCTTACAGGCCACTGTCATTTGAATCTTCATATGCAGTGACTTGGACTGTCGGAAGACAGTGTGTGTCGCCTCTATTTGGAAAATGATGAAACAGCAGAGTATATACTTTGTGCCAACCCCGCTGGGAACCGAATCAGGTTCTTAGAGTTCGGCAGATCCGTACTCTTACCATCTGATCTGAAAGATCACTCACCATACAAACTAATCGGCTTCATTGAGAAGCTGGGTTTATTTGGCCGAGTGTGAATAGGTGTGAGCCACAATAAACCCTTGCGGGTTGCGGTTGGAGAGTCGAATAGACCCACTCACTTTAGACCTAACCTAACCTATCAGAAAATTTGTGTCAATTGATCAAATCAAACTGTAACCCAACAATAACAAACATAATAAAAAAATGAATACCAGTAATAATTCATAATGAAAACAAAAAAACGATAAATTCAGTGGTAGTGCGCCCGACTCAAAATAAATGGTCGAGAATTCGATCCCAACCTCGACCAAATATGTTTACCGACAGACCTTATCTTGTTGAAGCTGGGATGATTCTGCAACGTTACATGACTGACGGACTGTGAATAGCCACGATGCTCCCTAGGTGGCTCGGGAAATTCTCAAAATTTGTTACTCAAGACACGAGGCTAATGACCAATGTAGTCGATGTCGATGACACCAAAAAAACAAATAAGAAAGAATTTCGAAAGAAAGAGAAACTAAGCAAATTACAAGAAAATAATATGGTAAAATTAGTACTCTAAATGAATGTCCTCATCTTTCTATATCCTGGGTTTCTCTGAATATTAACCGAGATAACATTTCGCTTCTCCGTTGCTTGGGAGCGTCAAGAGCGAGGATGTTGAGGGCGGAGTCGAAAAGAGAGGTGCACTTGAAATAAATAATGTCACGAACTTATGAATATTGAAGTAAAATACACATTGAGCAGACTGGTGGTCCCCTATGCCTCTAATCAGGCTGGATGTCGACGGATTCGACGAGGTCGTTAGTTCTGTAATAATTTAATAATTGTGAAGTGAAGTGAGTATGTGGAAGAAAAAACCAAGAGGTCATCCGGAGAGAAATCAAAATCTATATAGTTCTCAATTGTTATTTTCATCAAAAAGTATGAAAAAGTAAATAGGGTGGATGATGTGAAGCAAGACCGCTGCGCCCTCCGACGAAGCTTCTGTTAAATAATAACAGGAGGAGCCTGGTCAAATGCGCTCGAGTGGGAAGCAACCACCGAACTGTCGAGCTCATCTAAAGAAGAAGAGTCGAAGTGGTTAAATCGTCAAATGTGGTTGTAGAGCACCATGAGTTACAAAGAAAGTTTCATATTTAAGATTCCCGTTTTATTTAATTTTTTGATTGGTGGAAATAGAATATTTGGGCTGAAATCACTGTTCCTTCTGGAACATCAGAAACTGTATTGTGACATTTCAAGGCAACTTCAGCAATGGAAATTAAACCAAAGGTAAGGGATCCTATTTTTTCAGTAAATTGCTCTGAGTACAAAAGTTGACGCCAAGTTTTTTTCCGCCATGCCTTTTTTTTCTTAAACCAAATACAGAGCTTTTTTGCGGTAGTTTAGGAGGAACTCATTGCCAATATCACAGGCCAGTATTATCACAGGTATTTTTAAACTGTACTTCTGTACCACATAGCGAAATTTTAAAGGAAGGCTTCACCTCTGAATTGTTTCCATTTCTCATTTTCCAATGAACAAAATATCCAAAATTTAAATTGAAAGTGGTATATTTAAGAAGGTATTTATTTTTAGGAAAGGAAGGGTTTGAAATGAAATGTCCCCAACATTATTTCATTTTTGAATTTTACGAGATTAAAGTTACTTTTATGATTCTTGTCCTTCTGTCATCTCTCAACTTCTCTCAAATATTGATTATGTATTTATTTTCAAATATTACTGGAGTTTTATCCCAACACCAAACCGTTATTTCAACATCTCGACACGTGTTTCGATCACCAAGTGGTCATCTTCAAGAGGAAGATTAAACTGTAGTTTAATCTGCTTCTTGAAGATAACATAAAAAAGGGGTTTTTGGGAAATGTCACTCTAGCAATCTGTACTACACTATGAACTGTCTTTTTTGTAGCCAACACACCAACTGCACCTTTATTCACCTATTTATTAGTTTTTTGCAAATAACATTGTATAATTCATGTTATATGGTTCTCAATGAGTTTATATTCCAGGCATTTCCAAAGAAAAAAATTCAGGTTTTATATAATTTTTAGTGACTTTTAACCATCTGTCAAAATTTCATGAAAATCCTTGAGGTACTTTTTTATTATTTTTAATTGAAACAGGATGTGAATTTTTTTCAATCCAATTTTCAATCAGTGGAAAAACTGCTTGTCAAATGGTAGATTTTTACAAATAAAATTCCGATGGGGATTTATTCAATTTGTCGGTAAACACTTATTGTTTTAATTTCAAAAACTACACCTTACGATTTGATCTCCACAAACTTAATTTGAAAAATATATCACAACATTAGCTTTTTCAAGTGTAGTTTTTGAAATTACTATGGATCTTCATCAAGTAACGGCCGAATCAATCAGAAAAAAAACCTTATTGTTTTAAATTATGAATATATTTCAAAATAAATTAAAAAAAAAAAAAAGAATTAATTTGCATGCTCCAAAAAGAAGAGAATGAACTTTTTGTTCAAAAAGAGGGCGAATTCTTCAATATACTTTGTCGTTTTGAGACATAATATCTTATTGATTTTAATTAATGTATTAATATCCAATATCAATTTTCAGATGATTGGCTTCACAAATTTGAAGAGGGAACTGTGCTTACATTTTGATGTTGGATGAACGGATTATTTCAGAGTGCGATTAGTTGTAACTGGATAGCTCTCAATTAGGCCATTAAGGGAATCGTTATGATGTGTAAGCAGTTTATGAATATTCTTCACTTTCAGAAGGTAACTATTCAATAATTTATCAGTTATTTTAGCTATCAATCAAAATATGCATTATTGTCAAAGGTACATTCTTATTGACAAAGCTTGTAAAGAATATTATTGGAGTTTTTTCCCAACAGATTAAACTTCTTTCTTTAATCTTTCTCTTATAGGTGTTAGTCCATTAACCTACAGTGTAGGGAATTGAGACTGGCCTGAACGAATTGTTCCTTTAGATGATTTGAAAAAAATTTAAAGCCGAATCGAACATATGTTCAGTCTCAGCTTTAAGCATGTTTAGTTTGTTGGTGAGAGGCATAGAAGTTAGAAATGTTTTGAGTATTCGAAGATTTTCTGCTATCGAAAAAAATTGATCAAAGAATTTGCATTAAATCAGAGCAAAAAAAGGATGCATTGGGAGGTTAACATATATCAATCAATGCCGACTTGACTCGACTTCAAGTCAATTATTGGAAGAAATTGAAAGAAGAATTGGAAAGGAGAAAAACTGAGGGAGAAAATGTGATCATAAGATACTTCAATGGTGTTCCCCAAATTACTCAACAAATTGCAAAAAAGTAGTGCACAATCATATAAGTTACTATTATCAAAATGTTGGTGGCTTAAGAACTAAACTACTAGAATTGCAGCAGGCAGTTACGTCTTCTCAATACGACGTCATTGTGTTTGCGGAAACGTGGCTAACAGAAGACTATCAGAATTCTGAATTGGGGTTAAAAGGATATGACCTTTTTCGACAAGACAGAGACTGAACCGGGTCATCAAAATCTAGAGGTGGTGGTGTTTTAATTGCAACTAGAAGCTCATTATCCGCAAATCATATTGAAGGAACTTTGAATAATATTGAACAAATTTTTGTCAGGATGTCATTGGGGAAAGAATTACATAATTATTGGTGCTGTATATATACCTCCAGTTTCAGATATTGAAATATACAACAACCATGTTTATACTGTTGACAATGTTATGAGTTCTTTCCCGAATCACAGAATGATACTCTGTGGAGATTATAATATTCCAAATGCTATATGGTTTAATGATGAACTTGGATTGAATGTCGACTGTGAAATTAATTCCCCGGCAAATGTATTGTTGCACTCCTTCAGTTACCATAATTTATATCAGTTGAATACTATTCGAAACTCAAGAAATACCCTCCTAGACCTTTTATTTTCGTCTTACAAAGATATTCTAGTATATAATCCAGTCGAGTTCATCTTTCACAATAGTGTCCATCACTCATCTATAACTTTTGATTTTGAAATGGAAACATTACCTGATTTAAAAGTTGAGGAATACTTTTATGACTTTAGAAATAGTGACTACATCCCTATGAATAGTTTTCTTGCTAGCATCAAATGGGAAACTTTATTACTTGAAAAAGATATAAATCTATCTATAATGAATTTTTATTATGTACTATATGATGCAATCTATCATTTTGTTCCGATAAAAAAGTTCAAATCTTCAAATTTTCCTAATTGGTTCAGCAAAGACTTGAAGAAAAGCATACTCGATAAGAAAATAGCACACAGAGAATATAAAAGTGGTGATGTAGAAGCATTTCATAGATTTCAATATCTCGGATCTCATTGTAAAACCATGCGAGATGAGTGCTATCGTAGATATATTTCAAAAACCGAAAAAAATATGTCAACTAATCCCCGATACTTCTGGAAATATATTAGTGATAAGAAGAAACTTTACAATCTCCCTTCCCGTACGGTTTATGATGATATCTCTACTGATAATGCTAATGAAATAGTTGATCTTTTCTCAAAATTTTTCTCAACAATTTATGACAGCACTACGGTCAATGAAATCCCCAAATTCAAATTTCAAAATGTAGCTGACGTCTGCCACTATAATATAGATAGTAAGGAAGTTATAGATTTAGCTTTGAAACTACCATTTAAACTAACAACAGGTCCTGATAAGATACCCTTGCACCTGATTAAAAATTGTATTTATACTCTAGCAAAACCACTACACTGGCTATTCAATCTTTCTATTGAAAAAGGAATAGAGGCATATGCAATCAGTCAGAGTTGCCCAAAATGCTGGACTGTCTAATCACTAGAAAACTTTCATTCGATTTCAGAAACATCATAATCAATCAAAATCAACTTCTACAAACTTATTACTTTATGAAAACTACATCATAAATAATCTTGAAAATAGGCTACAAGTGGACTCTATATACACAGATTTTTCTAAAGCCTTTGATAGAGTCAACCAAAACCTACTGATTGCTAAGTTGAATGCGTTGGGTTTAGAGGGAGATGTTTTAAATTGGATTGAAAGCTACCTTCACAATAGAGTTCAATACGTTAAATATGGCAACTCTATATCTGAACCGATAAATGTGCCATCAGGTGTTCCTCAGGGATCCCACATAGGCCCATTACTGTTCAATTTATTTATCAATGATGTCTCCACTGTTTTTACCTCCAGCTCATGATGATTTAAAGGTGTTCAAATCAATACAAAATATATCAAATGCTCAGGCACTTCAATGTGATTTGGTACAGTTTTCTAGCTGGTGTGACGTCAACCTTTTGTATTTGAATCCAGATAAGTGTCAAAAAATTACTTTCTCAAGGATCAATAATGTATATGATTACTCGTATAAAATCAATGGGAATGATTTAGCAGTAACGGATAAAATAAAAGATTTAGGTGTCGTTTTTGACTCAAAAATGTCATTTAAGTACCAAATAACGGAAGCCTCATCTCGAGCCCGTAAGATGTTAGGTTTTACACTTCGTTCTGCTAGAGACCTAAGTGTCGAATCTATAAAACTGATTTATTGTGCACAAGTGAGATCCATTCTTGAGTATAACTCCATTGTATGGTCACCCTATTATAATGTTGATGTTGAGTTGTTAGAGGGGTGTCAAAACAAATTCTTGAGATATGTTGCTTTTCAGTTAGGATTAAATAGAGAAGAGTATAACTACTCACAGATATTGAACATGAACACCTTAACTCATAGGAGACCTGACACAGATCTTGTGTTTGTCCACAAAGTATTAAACAGCTATATTGATTCTCCAGAAATAGTTGAGCTTTGTACTACTCTCTCTGTGAATGATAGAAGAACCAGAAATAGTGATATTTTTAAAATTCCTTTTTGTAGAACCAATTATGGTCAGAATGAAACAATATGTAGGATATTGAAATCAGCAAATCATTACCATCTTAACCTGGAATTGTTTAATTCATCATTATTATCCTTCAAAAAATGGATTAAAAACATCTGATATATCTTTAGTTTGTAAGCATATGTACAATTTATAAAAAGATATTTGTAAAAATTGGCTTGTCCGTTGAAATAAATAAATAAATAAATTTTATGTAAAAAAATGGAATTAAGTGCTCAAAATTCACTTGAAATGGTGACAGTGGCATACAGTGACTGCACTCTAAGTCAGAAATATGTTTAGATTGGATTGATAATATGTTTATTGTTTAAGAATACAATTCTTGTTACAAACACAATGTCATAAATAAATATCAATATAAACATGAAGTATGAAATGTGAAGTATAAGTGTATAAAATATAAATGATTAAAATGAAATTTAAACTATATATACATACATATGCAGAGGTTACATGACAAGAACTAGGACAACAAATAAAAAAATATGTTTCACACACAGTACAATCACAGTTTCATCACATTCTAAATTACAGGGCATCGTCAAAATATTCTTGTAGGACATAATTGGCTTCATCACTTGATAGTTTTGTACATTTCCTTCTAAATATGATGAAAGGAGTCTCTTTGATTTCATTGGGAAGTTAATTGTATATCCTGATTCCATTATATATCAACGAGTTTTGAACCAAACATGTTTTTTGGAATTGGTAGACTCAGTTCATTTGACTGCCTTGTGTGGTATGTGGCTGTAGCTGTAGATTCATAGTTTTCCCTATTTTTATGTATAATTGACACGGTTTCCAATATAAATATTGAAATAACCGTAAGGAGTCTATGTTCTCGAAAAAGGGTCAACATGAATCCCGCCATTTCGGGCGGGGGTCTCCAAACTACGGCCCGCGGGCCAAATCCGGCCCGCGACAGCCAATGATTTACTGTCATCAATCTGGCCTGCAACAGCCAATGATTACCTAATTGTTGTTACTATTGCTGTGATAAGTGGAAGAAGAAAACACAGAATGATAATTACTCGGTTTTATTCACTTGTAAGGTAAAACTTAACGACAGAAATGATGGCAAAGAAAACTTCACTTAAGTATCTAAGTTTAAGCATATTAATAACTGACAAATAATTGAAATGAATCACAGTAGAACAAAAACACTAATGAGATTTATGTAATTGTGATTTTTCACCAACAATACTTTGTAGTTGTGGATCAATTTTACTTGTACCAATTATCAAAAGAGATTTAAGATGCTCATCGGTTAATTGAGATCTGTCTTTGTGTACTTCATCTTGGAAAACGTTTTCTCACACAAGTAAGTAGTACCAAAAACAGAAAACAAGCCACGAGCAAATTTATGCAAATTATCAAATTGTTCCAGTGGAAGACTCTTATAAAATTCCAACAAAGATGAATTTTGATATTTGTTCTTAAGCATATCACTGCCCCGTAAATCAATAATTTCCATTAGGACTTCTGGAGCCAGGTTTTCAATGTCAGAATCAAAAGGATTTTGAAAAAGCTCAATTTCATTCGCAATGACATCAAAATCTGAAAAACGAGTATCAAAATTTGTCTTCAAAGCACTCAAAGTTTCGATTGCAAAATTGACGGGAAATTCAGTCTCTGTAGTGTGGCTGAATATTTCACATGTTTCAAAATGTGTGAAACATTTTTTACGTAATTGCGATTGAAATAGTATTATTTTCTGCCTGAAGGATTTGATATTGGTGTATAAATCAGGGAGAAGCTGATTTTCTCCTTGCAATCTCAAATTCAGTTCGTTCATATGATTTGTCAAATCGACATAGAAGGCTAACTTCCACATCCAATCACTGTTTTCTAAATCGGTAAAAGGGCGCTGCTTCTCATTTAAAAAAATTTCGATTTCTGTTCGAAGTTCACAAAAGCACTTAAGGAGTTTTCCGCAACTAAGCCAGCGTACGGCAGTATGATATGGTGAATCATTTTCTCCAATCTGTTGAATAAACTCGTGGAATTGTCGGTGATTCAGCCCAGTGGATCTGTTGAAGTTAACAACTGATATGACTGGTTTTAGAACTTCAAACATTTTCCGCACAAGGACTGTTGATGAATGATACAATGTAAGACTAATGGTTTTGAACCACCATCATTTTCTACAGCCTTTGACACAAGTGCAACTACTCCTTTATTTTTACCATACATATTTTTGCCTCCATCATTTGTTATAGATTTCAAATTTCTCCATCGAAGGTTCATTTTATTAATGGCGTTTTCAACTCCCTTAAAAATATCTGCCCCAGTTGTCGTGCCGTGAATACTATCAATATCAAGAAGTTCTTCATACACTTCATAGCTTTTATCTACTCCGCGAATAAAAATCATCACGTGAACAGTATCTGACACATCCGTTGACTCATCCAATGCTAGAGAAAACCACTCATGATGTCCATTTTTGTCAGACAGTTGAGATGATATATTTTCTGCGATGTTTTGCATCGTCCGAGCCATGGTGTTTGCTGACAAACTGACACTTTTAAATAAATTTACCTTTTCGGAGCATATTTCTTCGGCTACTGCAATCAAGCATTCTTTTATCATTTCTCCATCGGTGAATGGTTTGCCACGTTTTCCGATATCAAGAGCCACACGAAAGCTGGAGCGAGTTGCAGACTCTTGTTCAGTATTCGCTTTGGTAAACAAAGATTGCTGCGATTTGAGTCCGCGTTTCAAATTTTTCCTTCCGCAAACTTCCTGTATACTTGGAGTAACTTTGAAGATGTTTCGATTCATAGTGTCGTTTAATGTTATAGTCTTTGAGAACAGCTTTGGTTTCATTACAAATTAAACATAGCGCCTTATTACTGGAGCCAATCACAAAATACTGAAAGTTCCATTTTTCTTGGAACGTTCTGCATTCACTGTCGATTTTTCGCTTCTTTTCCATACTAACAAATCACACATAAAAACACTAAGTCAAATCAAAATACTTTTATTGACGGGTGTTACTTTATTTCACAATAGACAGTTTCGCTTCTTTCGCCTTTCCTACGCAGACTAACTCGCAGTTGCGCCGCTAGCCTTTTTATATGCAGTTATTAATGCCATCTCGAGGTGATCGGAATACACTAGCTAGAACCAGAACTGTCCCGAACCAACGCGGTAATTCCAAATATTTAATTACGCCTAATGTCACCTAGCGGGTAGCTGAAAAGTATAGTACATAGTACCACTACTCGCCACTAGATGTCGTTAAGTGTCACAATACACAATAATAATTGAAATGCAAAAAAAGCGTAAGTTCGCTTAGGTCACGCACTTTGCGACTATTCTAGTCTAGAAATATAGTTTACTTTTCTTCCTGGGAGTGAAGTTTGCAAAAGAGTTTCCAATAATTTTGTAAAATTTCTCAACCACATTATAAATATCTAGGTTATTGAATAGAAGTGCCTAGTTTATTGGCGACAAATAATTATTCAAACCCACATAGTTTGCATTTTTAAAGTCATAGTAAAACTCTTCAAATGGAAGTGGTTTAAATTCATCTGTTAGTTCCAATTCGGCAGTAATGGCTTTATGGTGAAAGTTATTAGGTCAGTAGCTTCCTGAACCTGAACAAAAACATTTTGTGAAAAAGCTAGACCTAGGTATACATTATGATTATTAGGAATGAAATTGAGTTGTTTGAAATTAAGAAAAGAAAAATGATCACATAAAATATGGGCTGGATATTCTTGAAGGCAACGAACGCTAAGTCCATGCTCTTCCGAAGATTCCCATGTAGCCAATGGTAAATTATAATCACCAAAGAGATAACATTGAGATGCTCTGAATTTCTCAGATATTTGTTTGACAAAAGTACAATGATCTATTTGAATATCGGAATTTGAACCAGGCGGTATGTAAGTAGCTCCAAAAAACACTTTTCCACTTGTGTTCTTTAAAAGAATGGATAAATGCTCGACATTTGAACTGATTCCATCTAAAATTTTCACATTCAGTTTTTTTTTGACACATCATTACACCACCACCACCACGAGACTTGTTACTTGTGTTCGCATTTCGATCAGTTCTAAAAATGTTATAGTTGATTAGACAAATTTCTGCATCAAAGTAGGGGCTTGTTAGCCATGTTTCAGTTAATATAATAACATCATAATCGCAGCACGGGACAGAGTTTTTAAATTCTTCAAGTCTAGTTCTTAAACCACCAACATTTTGATAACATATTTTTAACGTATGGTTAGAGTTACATCTTAGTTTTTTGATTATTCGATTACAGCAATGCCTTTACTATATTTGATAGTTTTTGAATTATTAACATAAGATTCGCTTTGTCATTAAGAATTTTTGTTCTTCAGATAGTAAAGAAAATATCTCCTTCTCTCTTAACTAATTGTTATTTTATAGTGTATTTTTTTCAATTTAATGAAAGAGACATTTGAAAAACATAACATTCTTGCTTTCTGAAATATTTTGAAAAAATTATCAAGTGCGTTGATAAACTATATTTTGCCTGGACTGTGTCAAAACAGTAACATTTCTATTCAAATTTGGTATTTTACCCCATAAAGGTCTAATCTGTGCTTTTTAAATTGTGAGATCCAAAAAATCTATATGACTTAATTTTAGTGAAATAAATTCAATTGGTATTTATTTTTTTTCAGAATTCACAGACAAGAACCGATGAGATTGTGGGCCTGTAATGCATAATGAAACACCAACATGGATATACAGTTCTAAATGCAGTATGTGGTAGTATATTAAGGATGCTGATGAGTCACTTGGAATGTAATTTCCTTTTTCATTGATGTAAATATTTTATCTCTTGGAACTACTACATATTTTGTCATGTAAAAGATAGAAATAAAGGTACATGAATTTGTTTGGAAGTTAGTACATCCTACAAAGCAGGATATTGGTCAAATATTAGATCAGATAGTAATTAATAAAATTCATTTGAGGTAACTATACTGTTACTGGCAATACATGCCTAATATCCTAAATTGTGGGATGTGTTGGAGAAATAGGTACCCGACTTGAATCTTATGATGTGTGGCATTATGATTCTGCAGAGATGAAGAAATTAATGTCGAGAAATAATTTATCATCAGTTCATCTGATATGACTAAAAATGGCGTATACATGTTTAGATATATGGTTTTTTCGTCCCAAAATTTGGAAATGCAAAATTCATCCATTACTCTTATGTACTTCCATGAGTTTTTTGAAGCCAGATGTTTCACTTCCATTTTGAAAATAGCTATGGACACATACAATTCAATATTGTTGAAAAAATTATGTCTTTGAAGATGGGCTAACCATTACTTTTTAGAATGATACTCGTTTTGCTTCTCACTATACTTATTCTTCTCTTCATCAGTATTCCATCCGATGTTGAATATGTTTCTGCATTTTTATTTTCTCTATGTGAAGGCTACTAGTTATTTATATTTTGTTCATAAATATTTGCAGATGTGAAGTGATTTAATGCGTATATTTTGTTATATCTGTTGTGGAATATGATACTGGTTCTTATAAAAAGGAGAATGTTCCTCAATACTGAAATATTATTTGTTGAATTTGTCTTCTTTTCGCAAGGTTTATTGAATCTTCTCGGGAAAGCAGACGTGATGGGTTTTAATACTTATATTTTATATCTGTTATGAATTTACAATACCGGATTCTAAATGGAATATGTTTCTAATACTAAAATAGTATTTGTTGAATTTGTCTTCAAATTGCAAGGTTTATTGAATTTTCTCAGGAAAGCAGATGTTGAGTGTTCAATGCTTATATTTTATATCTGTTATGAAATACAACATTGGTTCTTATAAAATGGAGAATTTGCATNATGGAGAATTTGTGTCATACTGAAATATTATTTGTTGAATTTGTCTTCAAGGTTTATTGAGTTTTCTCAGGAAAGCAGATGAGAAGTATTTTGATGTTTATATTTTATGGATCTTATAAAATGGAGAATTTGTGTCATACTGAAATATTATTTGTTGAATTTGTCTTCAAGTTTTATTGAGTTTTCTCAGGAAAACATATGAAGTATTTAAATGTGTTTGTTTTATATCTGTTATGAAATATAATACTGGATCTTATAAAATGGAGAATTTGCCTCATACTGAAATGTTATTTGTTGCCAAACGTCGCCCCTGTAGAAATACACCTGTATACGAACTGAAAAAAAATATGTAGGTTCATATGAAAAAAATCAGAACGAATATATTTCTACCTCTGGGAAGTATTGACAGTGGTTTCCACAATTTCAATGGGTGAAGCTACGGGAGAGACATCTTAACTACACATTGGACGAACATCATCACTGAAAAATAAATGTTTATTTGATCTTCTGGTTCGTATGCTGGCGTATTCACAAAAAAGTACTACTAGGTATGTTTCATGTTTTAATGGATTACCTTCCCGAAACTTGAACAAATCTAGTTGGAAAAGGAGAAATGGACTCCTCACTGTTATTAGAGTTGTCGGTGGTTGACTTTTTCCTAGAGAAAACAACGAAGTAATTATTTTTCTACAACCTCCTACTACAGGTTACTTACATACAAGGTTTTCAATTTTTGATAAATAATAATCTACGAATCCGATTCACACATAGCCAATACCTCTAAATAACCAATTATTTCATTGTCGAAAATATAATATGAAATACTCCTAATAAAAAAGGTGTAACTTTCTCAACGATATCACTTGTTTGGAATTAGATCTATATTTATTTTATACTTATAACGTTGAATTATGGATAAACGTAATTATTATTAACACTCGATTATTTCATTATATCATTGTATAAAAAATAAGAATATAAAATCTAAAATCATATAAAATGGCGAGATGAAACTTATCAATTGAATAGTTAAAAGCACTTACCTCTTAATTGACGATTTCTTTCCGATGTTTCTACGACTACGTCTTTTCTCACTTGGGAACAACCTTTTTCTCTCCGCAGCGCCTAGCCTTTCTTTTATTTTTTCCATGACCACAAAAGCACCTAAGAGTAGATATTTTATGGAACGTAATTCAAACACAATTAAGTACAAACTTTATGTTTATGTTTGATGTTTATATTTTATGGATCTTATAAAATGGCGAATTTGTGTCGTACTGAAATATTATTTGTTGAATTTGTCTTCAAGGTTTATTGAATTTTCTCAGGAAAGCAGATGTGAAGTATTTTAATGCGTATATTTTATTTAATATAATACTGGATCTTATAAAATGGAGAATTTGCCTGATACTGAAATGTTATTTGTTGAATTTGTCTTCAAGGTTTGTTGAGTTTTCTCAGGAAAGCAGATGTGAAGTATTTTAATGCGTATATTTTCTGGATCTTATAAAATGGAGAATTTGTGTCATACTGAAATATTATTTGTTGAATTTGTCTTCAAGGTTTATTGAGTTTTCTCTGGAAAGCAGATGTGAAGTATTTTAATGTGTATATATTATGGAATATAATACTGGATCTTATAAAATGGAGAATTTGCCTCATACTGAAATTTTATTTGTTGAATTTGTCTTCAAGGTTTATTTGGTTTTCTCAGGAGAGCAGATGAGAAGTATTTTGATGTTTATATTTTATGGATCTTATGAAATGGCGAATTTGTGTCATACTGAAATATTATTTGTTGAATTTGTCTTCAAGGTTTATTGAGTTTTCTCAGGAAAGCAGATGTGAAGTATTTTAATGTGTATATTTTATATATGTTATGGAATATAATACTGTATCTTATAAAATGGAGAATTTGTGTCATACTGAAATATTATTTGTTGAATTTGTCTTCAAGGTTTATTGAATTTTCTCAGGAAAGCAGATGTGAAGTGTTGTTCGGACTTGCTTCGTTTAGTAGAGTAAGCCCGTATTCATCTATCAGGGATTCTATTTCCTCGCCCCTGGCATCGGGTCAAGCAGAGTGCCACAGAGCTGACCAGGTTATGTCCGATCCGCGATGTGCATCAAGGATTTGTTATGTATCAGCTATGTCATCTCAAATATTCTCACCGAATCTGTAGTACTGACTCAGGAGTACTATGTCCTCCCCTTTGTATTGGATTCTCACGCAGGTTCTACATTCCTTGTCGAGATGTTTGAGATGTAGGGCATCAATCTTCATTATAACGATAGCATCGAGTGGCTGATCAGGCCTGTTGTGAGCCACTTTGATACCACTGTAGCCAGGGACAGCCCACTCCTCTCCCTTGCGGCTCTTGCACTAGAAGCATATCCAGGTCATTTTCCTCGGCAACCTCTTTTAATTCTATCGCGGTTATTTTGGACTTCTGCAGGTTGCCTTGTCTGATTTTTATCTTCAGCTTAGGGTCCATAATCTGTGTTATAGATTTGTCCCTGGAGCCTCCGTAGGTATGCTGGGCACTCCTTGTCTGTAGCTCTGTGGTTGTCATTTTCTATCCTCGCACGCTCACAATTTATACATTTTGCTCGACCTCTCTTTGGGCACTCTTTGGTCTCGTGGTCAAGCGCGCATATTCCACAAGCCACTGAGCTTCTGCAGTCCTTCGCGAAGTGCCCATACCTCTGGCAATTCTAGCACCATACGGCTCGGACGTGATCCCTAACACTGTGCTGTTTCCAACCGATGAGGACTTTTCCTTTCTCTATTAGTTTTCTCCTGGTTTTTGGGCTGACCTCTATTACCCACGTGCATGTGCTTCCATTCCTATCTCCATATTTGTGGAGGGCTTTGAATTCCTGTGTATCCCAGAGGGGGATTTCGAGGAAGTCATTTATATTGTCGCTTACTCTTTCACTTGTTTACGCCTATTATAGCCATTCTTGGTTTAAACTTGGCTATTGTTTTTGCTTCAAGCCCAAGTTCCTCCAGACGCTTGTTGTTCAGTTCAAGCCTGGAGGTGATTATTTTGACTCCTCCCTTGACGGGTATCGTCTTCTCTAGAGTAATTCCCAGGTCTTCGGGGAACTGCTCTTCCAGCTTTCTCATAACATCGTCTCCGCTTTTTATGTCCTGCTGATCGTTTTTTCGATAGATCATGACAGCTTGGTTGTTATTAGTCTGAATGGGTTTCAGGTTCGGGACTTTGATTTTAGGTCTCGCGCTTTGTTTCCGGTGTAACTTGCGGCAACTAGTATATTACAATACGGATACGTGATGATGATCAAATAACGTCCATGAAAAACGGACGGGTTCTAGAATAAATATGTCATTAATTATATGATCTACAAATGCTTTAAGATGATTCGACGATTTCATACCAAGACTTTTGATGTTTCCCATTCTTAGGATATATATTTAGTGATAGATAGGTTCTTCATCGGTTTTTACTGAATTTAACATGTTTAAATGTTGACTCTATTTGCGGATGATGAAGATCTCTGAAAACCCTATTACTTTGGATCGTATATTTATCATCTACAGCAATATTTTAATTTATTGAAATTCCAAAAAATATAGATATATCTCCAATGTGGAAGATTTTCAAGGCTGGAAATATGAAAGAAAAAGAATATCGGGGCCAGAACTGTTTCTAATATTATATATAAATAATTACTTAGCAGATCAGTTTGATATAAATAAGATAAAAAATTGAAATGACCCTGGTACTGAAAAATATATTGAAAAGTATTTGGAACATGACACATTTGCTTCATAGTATAAATTGAAGAAATTATCCGAGTGAAATTGTTTGATCTTGTAAAAAGGACACTGAACTTTCCACTTCCAATATACAGAATTACTTCCGCCGTTAACAGGACATCCTTCCATATGCTTTAAGCTGTCCTGTAGCAGGATTTCGGAGCATTTGCTCCCCCCTCCATTATTGCAGAATAACCCAAAAGCGCCCTAAATAATTGATAGTGATCACTTCTGTCTTGATTACTTTTTAGTAC